CTGAGATACAAGTGTCCTTTCCTTTAGGGGTACAGTACTAGATAGCCAAATTCCATAACCTGTAATGCAACAGTTGTTCATAGTAAAAGCGAAATGACTTGTTTCTTGTTGCTATTTCAAACACAATAACCATAACAGCATCACAAGTTAGAAGGGTGGGTTAGACTGCCCATCCCTTCTGCTGAGTGTGGGGATTATTCTGCCTTATTAAGCTCTCAGCTCTCTGTATCTCATCTTTAAGTACATACAAAGTTCTTTAGGCAACTTGGGACCTCTCTCTCTCTGACAGGGTATCGGCGTTCAGTTGTTTGGTACTGCGGCTGCTGCTGCTGATCTTGTATCTAACATAGTGCTTGCTTCAGTAGACGTGTCAGGTAAGTTGGTTGCAATTTCAGGAGTCACTGGTGTTTGAGAGAGATGGAACCTGTTTCTCCGTAGGGCGCCCCCAGGTGTCTCCACAATGTAAGATCTGGGTGTGTCAACAACTGTGCCACAGTTCACTGTGAGCCCAACAAGGGGACCAAGGGTTTGTGATCTGTCTCTCTATGGAAGTTTTTCCCTATGAGAAACTCTGCATATGAGAACTTCTCGCAGGCCCATGTGGAGGCCACCATAGGTACACACCATTCGGTCAGCTGTTCCACTTTTGAGATGACTCCTTGTTGCTCAATTCTTCTTAATCGTTTGGAAGAAGAGGATATTGTGTGGATATAGTTTATGTGTAGATATGGCCGTGTGGTTGGTGATGCACAAAGAACCTGTTGATGTGATTGTTTTTCCTCTTGTTTCACATTAAGCTTGTTTGATTTAATAGACTATTGAGGGGATCTTAACTTGATGTAGTAGTATTTATAATGATGGTTAATGCTTTATAGCTAAGCTATAGCATTCCTTAATCCATGGAGATATTAATCATAGATTAACGTTATCACCTTCTAACATGAACCTGAAGTTAACTGTTAGCTTCTTATTTGCCAGCTTCTTGTTGGAATTCTCCCTTTCCCCCTTAAATAGTGCGGCTTCAGGCACCAGAGAGTGACTGAATGGGAACACTTGAACGAAAAGCTGGCAAACAGGAAGCCAACTTTAGCTTCGCCCTGCTTACTGTGTTTTAGGGGGTTTAGTTTAGTTGTAGTTAGTAAATCGGTTGAATATTAAGGAACTGGTGGCCGATTTAATCCTGAGAGCTCATCATCTCTCAATACAAGTGAAAGTGTTCACACGCGGATTTTGACCGCTCCAACATGGCGGACGCGCAGACACTTCCTCTCAGAACATCAGACAATGCGACATCTAGGTACGGATATCTATGCTTGAAACAGGCTCACATTTAGCACCGTAACGTTAGCTCAGCAACTGTGCTGCTCTTAGGACCTCTTTTCAGAAGTTTGGCTGGGGGGTGGGCAATTTTCTTACCGTTCAGGTTAAGAAAAAGGAGGGAGAAAAAAAACGGGTGCATATTCATATCCCACTTCTTACACCATGTTCTGTCGTTTGGTACAATAATAAACCACTTTACTGAGTGAGAGATACAACAGACGACTCATCACACACGTTTTACTCTCGAACTGCCTCTCCTTTATTATTTTTGTCCCCCCTGGTGCACTGGGAACATTACAAAGGTTCCTACTGTTGTTTATTAAGTAGCAAAGATGTGAAGATGATGAAAGAAAACTCCGCTGACACTGCCTTGCCAGTTGGATGTTTATTACAAAGTAAAACAGTATCATATCAAGCACTATAAAGTACCTGAGAGAGGATCCGTGCCAATGCTAAGTGTCCTCTCTCCAACAGAATATTCCAGCTGCTTATATATTGGACTTGTTGTTGAAACAGGAGACAGAACATATGGTCCTTTTTAAAAGGATCTCATCTATTTGGAACTAAGAGAAGAATGGAGAAAGTGAGAGGCCTACTTCCTATGGGGCTTTGGACCAGGGGGCCCCTTAATTTAAACATTCCTTACCCCTGCAAAAACAGAGCACACAGAGAACTCCAGACCCCAACTCATGCTGGAAGAGTGTTTTTACCATTTTCTATAAAAATGTTCCTTTTAAATATACTTCACTACCTATGAAAATGACTTGATACTACAAGAGTCTCCGATCTCTCAGACGTGTCAGCAGCCATTATTGTACTGTCTCGTCCTTAGTTACCGTCACAGATATACATACCTAGATGCCGCGTTGCCTGTTGTTCGCTATGTGAGGCGATACGTCTGCGCGTCCGCCATGTTGGTGCGGTCAAGATCCACTTGTATTGAGAGACGATTAGACTCAGGATTAAATCGGCCACAACTTCCTTATTACTCAACCGATTTTCACCAAATTTGTTTGTTATAATTCTCAGACACAGCTTAATCTAAGTTGCACGGTCTGCTCTCGGTAGCTTTTATTTCTTTATTAACTGATTGTGCTAATCCGTCCAGACCAGCGGGAAAGTATTCAGTCTGCACCTGATGTGAGTTTAGCCCGAGCTCCGGTAAAAACACAATCAGCAATCCATCCATTGCCGTTGACATGCCTGGCTGGACCCAACGCGACATCTAGGTATGTATATCTATGGTTACCGCTGATGGAGCAAGACATGTACAATCGATCTATAGAATCTGATATCGATCAACCAATAGAAATATTAAGATGCTGTGACATCATTGTTTGACAGCCCCTTTATTAGCATAAGGACAAGGAAATACATAAATAAATAAATATAGAAATAAATAAATAAATATAGAAACGTTAAATAAGAAACATGTAAATAACAAAATAAATAAATATAAAAATGAATGAAGAGGGGAAATTACTAAATAGACATATAAGTAAATGCAGACATATTATTTTATGTAAGGTTTTATTTATTAATATATTAATTTCTAAGTATATTTATTTTTAGATTTATCATCATTATTCTTTGTAATTCTAAGCCATATATTCATTTACTAAGTCATTTATTTTTAATTTTATTTACTTTTCACTTTGGCAGATCGGGGTCCTTCATAGTCGCTCGTTCACACTCTGAAACTCTCACTATGAAGAGAAGTGTCTTCAGTTTCTTACACTAGTTGTCTTGTCAGCTATCTAGCTAATGTTAGTGTGAGCCTGAACTCTGTTCTTTGCCTCACATGAACCCAAAGTCAGCCAAGAAGTAAAACCCTTCTATCCAGCTATTCTGACCATAATTTACCTCAAATCCATATTGTAGGTGGTAATATTGACTCTGTCACTACTGACTGTTCCACTCTGTGTATTAGAGACTCTGAACAAAGTCTAATGTTAATCCTGTCGCAGCTGCAGCGGTTGTCAACAGCGAGTAAAAGCAGAGACCCTCCCCCAGGTCTGATATGATTGGCTTTCAACTTACGAGGTCTGATTTGATTGGCCGAGCTGGAGTTCTTCTTTCCGTTAAATCTCTGGAAGCCCCGCAGAGGCAGCGCTGCCTTAGAGCCATGATCTGTTCGCTTATATACAGTCTATGTTTAGAGCAGCAGCGCCTCCTGCAGGTCGCGCCCTGCTATTACCCTATATTGTGAATTTGGAGGCGCGATGGCGGCTGAATAATGAAGAATGAATAAGATCGTTTGAACTAGTAATATGTTTTTATTTTAAAAAGAGAGAAAATAACATGGGGGCGGGGCTAAAGCCCCCCATTAAACTGGCCTAGCGACTCTTTGTTTGTACAGGTTCACAACAAATGGGTTTATTTGTCTGAAGTGCTGAATGAACCCAGGCCAGTCTGAGTCATTTGTACGACAGTTCTTCATGATGCTTTGTGTGAGCAGCATCTCCAGCAGAACATCATCATGAACTCTACTGACTTTGTGTTTCTCTGAAGAGAAGATTTCTCGGCCGACAGCTCCTCCTTACAGGCTCCCTGTAATATATATGCGTTGCTGATGTCGTGTGACTCAGACAGAGCTGCTCATCCTGCACACTCAGCTAATTTGCACTGTCTGAACAAGAGGCTGTAGGATGTTCATCCTGGAATATTATTTCACACATCTGAGATGTATATATATATATATATATATATATATATATTAGTATAATATACTGAAGTTCGTATTTGTACCTTTCATTCCACTTATTTTATTTACACTTTGGTACTTAATGTACTGTTTATGAATTGTATTATTTTATTTGAGCGTTTTGGCCAAAATTAGCTCCATATTCGGGCCTGTAAGCTGCAGGCCATGTTTTGCAGAGTGCTGCGTGACCGCGGACATTTTCTGTGACACGGTGGTTTATATATATGGTGACGTCACAACAGCCGTCTGTGACGTCACCAGTGACGCCCTATATAGGCTGCAGAAGCTCAAAATTCCACTATTACAGCAGCGAACTTGAGTAACTGTTGTGTTGAGTGTGAGTGTAAAAGGTTCCTCTCAGTCAAATTCTCG